CCGAAGCAGTAAAACTGTATAGTTCTTTTTTTTTTGGAGAGATTTTCGCTATAGGGCACGTGTGCTCACCAGACAGCCAGAGAGAGACATAGAGACAGAAAGCGAGAAATCATCCCCCAGTGGGGGATGGTCACGCAGCAATCCCTTCTCCTCCATTCTCCTCTTGGGATCTTGGGCACGCATGCACACACACCTGGCGTGAGTTTAAGCCACCAGGTCCAGGACATGAACCGTGGTCGACTATGTGGGAGTCCAGCGACATAGCCATTATGCTAACTGCTGGTTCCCAAAAGTGTATAGTTCTTTTTAAAAATGTACTTCTGTGACTTACACAATAAAACTGTAATATTTTTAGAGGGACATAAAAGAACACTGGATAAGTGGAGATACATGCCAGCTTCTTGGATTGATAAAATCAGTATTACAAGATATGAATTTCCCCTAAATGATCTAAGATTAAAAAAAAAACAAAATCCTACTGCATTCTTGGTGTGAAAGGTGCTGGAAAAATAGGCCTGAAGTTCATGTTAAAGATCTGGTACCAGCAGATGACATAATGGTTACATTACTGCACTCTCATGTAGTTGACAACGGTTCAAGTCCTGGACCTGGTGGCTTGAACCTCATGCCAGGTGCATGTGCGTGCGTGCCCAACATCCCAAGAGGAGAATGGAGGAGAAGGGATTCTGGTATGGTAACGCCCCCTGCAGGGTGAATTCTCACTTTCTGTCTCTCTGTCTTTCTGGCGAACACACACGCCCTATAGCAAAAATCTCACTTAAAAAAAGAAGAGATCAATGTGTAGGAAGATTCAGACAACCCTGGAAATAAAACATGTATTAAAAAGTTATAATAATTGGAATTATGTATTAGTTCCAGGACACACAGACCAAGGAATAAAAGAAGGTGCCTAGAAAGATATATAGGTACTTGTAAAGGTTTAGCATATAAGAAAAGGGATATTTTAGGTCAGTGAGGATAGGATAGATTATTCAGTTAGTTGTTGGGACAGCTTTTGCCTTGGTTGTGCTACCCATGAGGTTGTCCTACCCTTGGTTGTCCTACCCATGGCTACCAGTTCTGAGAGTGTTTTTGTTTGTTTGAGAAGTTTTTGCTATAGGCCGCATGCACTCGCCAAAAAGACAGAGAGAGAGACAGAGAGACAGAAAGCAAGAAATCACTCCCTAGGGGGATGGCCACGCTGCAGTCCCTTCTTCCCCCATTCTCCTCTCAGGATCCTGGGCACTCATCCACACGCTCCCGGCATAAGTTTAAGCCGCCGGGTCTGGGACTCTGGGACTCGAACCACATTAGACTACATGGGAGTCCAGCAACATAGCCATTATGCCAACTGCTGGTTCCGAAAGAATGTTTTACGACAACTCTGCTGGCTCCATCATTCAAGAAATATTTTAGGATTTATTTTTCTCTTCTACCTAATGCCAAAACAAATTCTTGGTAGATGAAAGATTTTTTAAGATTTAAGAAATAAAAACGTCATTAAGGGACTAGAAGAAAATATTAGCAAATATATAATCTTGAGACTATTGTAGATATACTCTTGAGGGCAGAAACCACATACACACAAAAAGATTTGTCTATATCAAAAATTTTTAATTAGGTATATTTGTATACATGAATCAGCAAAGTAAAAAGCAAATATCAGATGGAGAAAATGCTACAGAAACCAATGATTTTTAATATAAAAATTTCAAGCCAATACAATTAAAATGAATATTTTATTAAAAAAGTTTGGGGGGACCAGCAGTTAGCATAATGGCTATGTCGCTGGACTCCCACGTAGTCGACCTCGGTTCCCGTCCCGGACCCGGTGGCTTAGAACTCACACCGGGCACGTGTGCGTGCGTGCCCAGGATCCTGAGAGGAGAATGAAGGAGAAGGGATTGCGGTGTGACCATCCCCCCTGAGGGGTGATTTCTCGCTTTCTGTCTCTATGTCTCTCTCTGTCTGTCTGGCGAGCGCACGTGCCCTATCACAAAAAAACCTCTCCAAAAAAGAAAAGAAAATTTTTTTTTCAAGTTTATTTTATTCTTGAGAGAGCACATGTCTGTGAATGAGAGAGAAAGACGAGAGAGTGAGCAGTTTCCTTGACAGACTTTCATCACACCACAAACCCCTTTCCCCAGAGCTTCAGATCATTCAGCTCTCAGGCATAGGTCCAGCACATTTCAGGGCGACGGGGATCTAACCTGCAGTCAGTCATGTGGCTTCCTGCATTGCAGTTCAGCACCTACCAACTGACGTGAATATTTAATTTTAATTAATGTATATGTTTATTTTGACTTACTCATTTATTTTAGTGCACTCAGCAGAGAGAGACAGTGATAGAGGGAAAGTTAGAAATCACTTTCTAGGGGACATGTCCACACCATAAACCCTTCTCTTCCATTCTCTTGAGATTTTGATATGCATGCCCACACACCTAGTGTTTTATTTTTTCTGGCTACCAGTTCTGAGAGTGGAACCGCCAAGTCGGCCATGTGGGATCCAACACCTTAACCACCACGCAACCTGCTGGCCCCTATATGTGTATTTTTAAATTCATGCTGGGTTCTCAAACCGGAGCCACTTTGGACCCACCCAAACCACCAAAACCATTCGCTGAAGAAGTTGTGAGGTGGCTAGGAAGAAGGACCTGCAAAACTGAAGCAAATATTCACTGTAATGATCATCCTTTTCTCTATGGCCTGTTGCTATTTTCTTGGCCAATTATATACATTGGATAAAGAGGAATACCCAGGGGCCAGCAGTTAGTGTAATGGCTATGTTGCTGGACTCCCATGTAGTCTACCGCAGTTTGAGTCACGGACCCGGTGGCTTAAACTCATGCCCGGCGTGTGTATGTGTGTGCCCAAGATCCTGAGAGGAGAATGGAGGAGAAGGGATTGCGGCGTGGCCATCCCCCCTTGGGGGGGGAGTGATATCTCGTTTTCTGTTTCTCTGTCTCTCTCTGTCTTTCTGGTTGTTCTGTCTCTCTCTGTTTTTCTGGCGAGTGCACGAGCCCTATAAAAAAAAAAAAAAAAAAAAAAAAATAATACCCAGACATTTCACAGGGTCTGAGGGGATCTTGTTATCCAGAAAGTCAAAGTATTATGGCTCTTTCGTAAGTATAGGGACTTATGGGGGTCAGGTAATAAGCAGAATCCTGGATGACATGGAAGACTCTGGGCCCCTGGACACATCCAGTGATCCTTTCCTCAATCCCTGAGTGTGCAATTGTGAGTAAATATTGGGTAGCTGAAGCTACCTCTACGGGAGATCTTGATCTTGAGTTATAATAGAGCAAGCCAAGAGGAAGCTTCTGAAGCTGCTCTTCTTCTCAATAATAATAATAGTAATAATAAATCAAAACCACTATTTTATTCAAAGGGATGAGAGGGTGATGATGGGAATCAATACCATCATTAAAGACCTAAAGGATATTGGGGCCAGTAGGTGGTATGGTGATTGAGGTGCGAGACTCCCATATGGCCAGCTGCAGTTTGAATTCTGGGCCTGGTGGCTTGGGAATCATGCTGGGCATGGGTGCAAGCACGCCAAGAATCTGGGAGGAGAATGGAGGAGAAGGGATTGTGGTGTAGCTATCCTTTTTGAGGAGTGATTTCTTGCTTTCCCTTTCACTATCTCTCTCTTTCTCTGATGAGCATACATGCCCTATGGTAAAAACCTTAAAAAAAAAAAAAGACCTAAAGGATACAAGGATAGCTCTCCTTGTGATCTGCATTTAATTTCCCAGGCTGGACCCTCCAGAAACCAGGTGGACACAGGAGAGTGACCGCGGTCTCCTACATACTTGGTGCATACTCCTGCATAACCTAGTAGCTGTCCCAAACAGAGCTGTGGTGCTCTTACAGTACAGTCCAAAAGGATCTGGACAATCTGCACATCCCACAGAATGTCACGTTCATCTCTTACACCAATGACATCATGTAATGAAGCAGGATGAGCAAGAGGTGGCCAGAATGCTGGAAGCCTTGATAAGACACCTGCACTCCAGAGGCTGGGAGATAAACCCTGGAGAAACTGAGGGAGGTACTACCAGGACAACCCCTTCGAAGTAACAGGCAAATTAAAGAATGCACATAATAAGCAAGGTAAAAGGAAAAATCACTCATCAGTCTTCTAAAAGAGATCCCTGGAATTGATCACAATGTCTATACCCTTTGAGGTGTTTTTCATTGTACACAGAGTGTAATATAAGAAATGAATATAAGATCATATTCCTTGTCAGTCTCTGATACCTATGCTTGCTTATTGTCTGTCTTGCCTCTCTGTGACAAAAGCTTCATATGGAGGTCATGCATTTTGTCTTTTTCATTGATAGCTACTTGACCCCCAGAACTCAGTTGGTGCTCAATAACTTTTATGGTGGAATGAATGAAAGCATACTATGTACATCGTTTTGTGGCCTGCTATTTTCAGCAACTTCCTGATACCTCAGGTAATAAATAATACCTCGTCTTTCTTAAAATATGTCATGCCAGAAGTCATGGGAAAGCAGAGCGATCTCATACTCCAAAAATGCTATCAGCGCAGCTTCAGAACCAAGAAACCTTGTTTTTAGGCAGCCCTCAAAACTCTTTCTTTTTGGCCAGTATCGCCTTAGAATCTACTGCAGGCACAGTCTGCCTGGACCATTCTTGAGCGTCCCAACTCAGTAAGGTTAAGTACTAAGGACATGACTACGAGCCAGCAGCTCATCCCAGGGCCACGAGGGGGCGCAAAGGCGCCGCAGTGCGCGCAGCACCCCAGACCGCCCGGAGGACGACTCTGAGCGGCCGCAGTGACCGCCTGGAGTGGGCGGAGCCAAAGGCCCCCGGGCCGCGCGGAGGGCACGATGTGAGGGGGCGGGGCCTCGGGGGAGGGCCGTACGCTTGCGCAAGGTCGTCCGAAGGAACC